GATGTCAAGAAATGTCTTGAGATATCCACCGCATTTTGGCATCGCTTCTATTCGCGCATTGGATTTATGTTCCGGAGAGAACCTCAGCGGATTGTGAGATGGAAATTGGCGAGACCACTCGCACAGATATAGAATGTAAACTGAAGATAAATGAAGTATATATATATATTTTATATATATATATATTGCGTGTGGTTAGACTATAGTCAAAGGAAATTGGGAAGCAATCTTCCGAGTTACGGATGACTTTTACTCAATGAGCATAGCGTTCGGGATTGGGGTCCGCTAAACGTTTTTCGCACCGATACACCGATGCACCGATACACCGCGCGCGCACCGATACACCGATACACCGATTGCCGCGCGCGCACCGATACACCGATACACCGATTGCCGCGTTCGCACCGATACACCGATACACCGATTGCCGCGTTCGCACCGATACACCGATACACCAATACACCAACACACAGCCTACGCACCGATACAACCCCCTGCGCTACACCGTTTGCCGCGCGCGCACCGATACACCGATACACCGATTGCCGCGCGCGCACCGATACACCGATACACCGATTGCCGCGCGCGCACCGATACACCGATACACCGATTGCCGCGCGCGCACCGATACACCGATACACCGATTGCCGCGCGCGCTCTGCGCACCGATCACACCCGACAAAGTAAACGATCATAGCCGCGCGCGCAAACGATACAACCGATACCACGATTAGCCGCTGCTCGCACGACATACACCGATTGCCGCGCGCGCACCGATACACCGATACACCGATTGCCGCGCTCGCACCGATACACCGATAGACCGATTGCCGCCCTCGCACCGATACATCGATACACCGGTTGCCGCACTCGCACTGATACACCGGTTGCTGCGCTCTTGCTGATACACCAATACACGGACTGCCGCGCACGCATTCATGCGCCGATACACCGATTGCCGTGCTCGCACTGGCACACCGAGACCTCGCCATTTTGTGCGCTGCGGCATCATGGAACGCGATGTAGTTATTTGGATAATTTTGGATATATCCTGCAGATATATACATATAGGCCTTTCTGGATGGGTTCACATCGGGGGTAGACGTCTTTCGTATAAATTGCAGGCGCACTTTTTTTTTCTATTTTGGTAAGCTTCAGCAGTGCAGCGGTGACTTAGAGACTGTGTGTGGCCCTTGCTCCAGCATTGGCATTCGCTCCCTTTCGGTGGCGTCCACGCGTGAATTGCTGTTGTATTTTGTGCATTTTTGTGCTTTGGTTTGGGAAGACTGATGCATCTAGGTTGGGCTACTGGTAAGGGTGGAACTGGCTGGGTGCTCTTGAGTTTTCACATTTGATGACTCAGGGTGCTTGAGGCTTTGCCCCCGACTGGCGTGTAGTGTTGAATGTTTCGCAACGAAACATTTCATTGATGACTGAAAGAGTGAATAGACCACAGAGGTACCCTAAGTCTCGAAAGTTAGTAATTTTACTCGCCCTGAATTTTACGTAAAATCGATTGTTTTACTAACGTTATTTTACGTAAAATTTTACTAACGTTAGTAAAATTTACTAACGTTAGTAAAATTTTACTAATGTTAGTAAATGATTTTACTAACGTTAGTAAAATTTTGCATGCTTTCAAAAATTGTGAAAATTGTGATTTTTTTCTATTGTTTTTCTTAGGAATTCTGATATTTTTTGTGATGTGTGTGATTGTGGTTTGCGATGATTTGGCTATGAGTGGGGTGTTTCCAGTGGAGGATTTCAATCGATATGTTGTTGTTACTGTAGAAGAAACTGCACTTATGTGTTGAGGAATGCCTTTACATGAGTTTGTACTGGAGACTTTACTTGCGATTTTATATGAGTTCTTGGTACTTTCTTGGGACTTTACCTGAGAGTTCTTTTGAGATGTTATGTGAAATCATGTACATCTATAACTATATCTATATATCTATATAAACATATAAACTGGATTTACATAATAGGTGAATCCACAAAAGGAATTTACATTGGATCTTGACTTTAAGAAGTCATTGCAAAGCATTTACATTTGAAAAAGAAAGTCTAGATAAAATTTTGGGTAAATGAGACTAGGTGAAATATGAAAGCAATAATAACCACATCTTATCATTTTTTCCAGGCAAGGAAAGTGAACCAAATTTTATTGGATCAGGTTTGTTTGCTACAAAACTTGATCAACTTACATAAAACAATTGTCCATGGGGACTGAAGACATGTCTTTTTCAAAGCTAAATTTAAAAGGGAGCTCATAGACTCTTGTGGTGCTTTTTTTCTCATACAATTTGGAGAAGGTCTGGATGAAATCCTGGTAAACCTTTGGCTGGCTTGAAAAAATACATCCAAGAAGTCTTAGTGAGACCCTTACTCCACTTTCAATTCCATATGAATATTTTTTCACATGTGTCCAAAGTTTTTTCAGAAAAATGCTTGAACACGGTCAAGAATGCAATGCACTTCTGATGCTTTTGGTGCACTTTTGATGCACTTTTGGAGCACTTTTGATGCACTTTTGGTGCACTTTTGGTGCACTTTTGGTGCGCTTTTGATGCACTTTTGATGCACTTTTGATGCACTTTTGATGCACTTTCAAAAGTGATGCACTTTTGATGCACTTTTACCGCCTTTTGATGCACTTTTGATGCACTTTTTAAAAGTGCATCAAAAGTGCGTCAAAAGTGCGTCAAAAGTGCGCCAAAAGTGCGTCAAAAGTGCGTCAAAAAGTGCGTCAAGAATTTATGGCATTTTTCTTGGAAAAAATAAAAAATGGTAAGGTTCTCTCTCAAAAAGAGATTGCATGCATTGAGTTTGAAGTAAAACTCATTCAGTGCAATCTCAAGTAAGGTGCAAAGTGCAATGATAGCAAACTCAGTAAAGTTCACTGACAGCAGTCTCAAGTAAAGTTCACTGGCAACAGGCCCGGGTAAAGTTCATTGGATGCAGCCTCAAGTAAAGTTTATTGGATGCAGCCTCAAGCAAAGTTCATTGGATGCAGCCTCGAGTAAAGTTCACTGACAGCAGTCTCAAGTAAAGTTCACTGACAACAGGCTCAAGTAAAGTGCACTGACAACAGTCTCAAGTAAAGTTCACTGACAGCAGGATCAAGTAAAGTTCATCGGATGCAGTCTCAAGTAAAGTTCATTGGATGCAGTCTCAAGTAAAGTTCATTGGATGCAGTCTGAAGTAAAGTTCATTGGATGCAGTCTCAAGTAAAGTTCACTTACAGCAGTCTCAAGTAAAGTTCAGTGACAGCAGGCTCAAGTAAAGTTCCCTGACAACAGGCTCAAGTAAAGTGCGGTGACAACAGTCTCAAGTCTAGTTCATTGGATGCGGTCTCAAGTAAAGTGCACTGACAGCAGGCTCAAGCAAAGTTCATTGGATGCAGTCTCAAGTAAAGTTCACTTACAGCAGTCTCAAGTAAAGTTCATTGGATGCAGTCTGAAGTAAAGTTCATTGGATGCAGTCTCAAGTAAAGTTCACTTACAGCAGTCTCAAGTAATTTTTTTTTGGATGCAGCCTCAAGTAAAGCGCAGTGTCAACATTTTCAAGTAAAGTCTTTATGCAGAAAAGTTTCTTGGATCTGTTTTCATGTAAAGCCAACCTCAGCGAACAGCAGCAGCACTTTTTTTTCACACCCCAATGCAAGCTATCAGGAATTGACCGTCTATCTTTCTTTCAGAATGTTTTCGTTTTGCGGCAAAGGACATATCCTTATGCAGGTTCCACATGCTAATTTCTTCACATTCCTCAACAATATTTGCATATTCATTCTGCTTCTTATATCAAATTCAAGGAAATTCGAAAACCTATCACACATCTTCTGGCACATTTTTGATGCATTTTGATGCATTTTTGATGCACTTTTGATGCACTTTTCCTTTTTTTACATTTTACTAATTTTGCAAAAATCAACAAAAATTTTACGTAAAATCTTCGGGATTAGTAAAATTACTAAATTAGTAAAATTACTAGCTTTCGAGACTTAGGGTAACTCCATTCATGATGTTTTTCGCACAAGAATGGGTTTCTCATAATTTTTGCAAGCGGATTTGGAGATGATTGATTTCTAATTCCTTTCGTTGGAGCAGGGTTTGAAAACACTAACAAATCTCACCGACTTGGCGGAAGACAATGACAATCTCGATCCAAGAATTGAATCGCATGAAGGTCAGAAGTCAAACAACAAAAAGCATATACTGCTGCTATGGTCACAAAAGAGCTTACAAAAGGGAGGCCGAAACCTGTCAGTCAGAGAATTCCCTCTCCGGCTAGTATTGAATAGCCCCCAAACAGATTGGATTCCAGTTTATGCATAGATCCAATACACTCCGATACCAGAGCAGGGTTTGTGTGGGTTGTATTTCATGTAATATATATATATATTGGCTGGAAGGGGCATACAATAATTGAGATATGGTGTTCATGAATTTTCCGGAGTTAAATTAGTTCCCACAGGGTGGCGAATACATTGATTGTTTCTCAATCAATGTCATCACAAAGTTTTAAACATGTTGTTTTCCTTGGAAGTGCTTCATGAGCTCACTCACAAGCCAGAAGCTTCACAAGGTGGTCTCGATTTTCACAATGTTTCAAGACAAGAGCCAGAGGCCTGTGCAGTTTGGAGTTCACAGTGGAGCAGTAGGACACAGACCAGCAATTTTTGATCTTCTATAGCACCATCGATTTCAGTTTGGCGCGCGTCATGTTTCAGATCAGTTCATTGCCGCTTACTCACACGACAGCGCAGGAGAGATCTAGTGAAAGTTATTTACCTTGGCACCGTGACTTTTTGAAGCCGAGCATGTCCATTTCAACGTGCTTGACACTAAAACGACCCAATATAGTTCATGACAATATGCTGCCATGAGCAAAAGCATGTCAAAACAAAACATCATGTCGAAATTTGCAGTTAGCAGTTGCGAAACATTTTCGATGCTAGATATTTTCGATTCCTGTATCACAGATCGTATTCCAGCAGCATGACCAACGAGGTGTACAAGTGGCCAATCCAAAGTCGTCGGAAGAAAAGAGAACCTGCGGCGCCAAAGTGCCTCAAACGGCCGCCGCCATCAGTGCTGCCCGGCGCAAATAAGCGTCAGAAGCCGTCTGCAGCAAGCCCAGCCACACTTCTTGGGCCGACACAGGCCGCAGATCGTGTGGCCGTCAAAGACTCGGAGCATCTTCACACTCTGGCTCAACGTTTGGCTACCGGGCGGACTGACGCAGTGCTCCTTCAAATCCTACACGCGAATCCATTCAAGAAGACTTTGCTCGACAAGCCGCCGTCCATTACAGGCAGGGTTAGATAAATTGCATCACTCAACCAAGTCAAAATAGCTTTGTTTGTTCTTTGCATCACATGTTTCTTTCTTGGGCAGACAGCAGCCAGGTGGTCAGCCATGCAGAGGCATGACCGCAGACCTACATGGATCGACTGTCTTTGTGTTGGATACTTTCATGCGCCGAGGCACTCTTCATGCAGACGTGGCACATGTGCGTGCAAGGGACAAGCGAAACACAGCAGCGAACTCCAGCACTAGTTTTTCTCTCGGAACACTTTCAACAGTCAAAGTTCAAGATCTGTCCAACACAAGAGTCGAGCTTGTGGTGACCACAGTTCACGGGCGAGATGTCCATCTGGAGAAAGTTGGAGGCAAGCTTCAAAACTTGGACCTGCTTCCCTTGCCGCTGCCATCTATGCAAGCGCCAACATTGAAGGGTCCCATGTCCAATGGCGACAACGAAATTGTCACCGTCGCACCCCAAGCCGCATTACACCACACCCAGACATTTGGTACAGCCAAAGAGCCCCATAGAACTGAGCCAAGAGCAGACAAGATGTGGTCAGGTTGGATTCTGGACGTGCCGCACTCTGTGCAGTTTTGCGCGCAGCCACATCGATGTGTTACGTGCAAGGGAAGCGGTGGAGCAAAAGTTGAGGACAAGGGGAATTACCAGGTCACAGATGCTGATGTGCTTCGAGCTTTTCCAAATGTCATTGTTGTTAAAGCGCCGCAGCAAAAGAGGCATTTCATGACCAGGCGCTACTTGCTGGAGATCTTGCTGCATTTCTATAGTTCTCTCAATTGCAGAGAAATCCGTCGCAAGCTCATGGATGTTTGCGCTGCGCAGACATTGCATGCTGATTTGCTCTGGCAGGCGCATGCGACACCGAAGGCCGAAGTTCTGCGGTGGACAGTCCGGCAAGCCTTTGGTAAAACCTTGGGAAACATTGTTGAGTCTCTGCAATCCAAGCTCTTTGTCTACAACGGGCAAGGTATACGTCACGATGGCAACATGAAATTGGCCAAACGAGTGATGGTGCCTAAGGAGAGGATCTTCCCTCGCTTGGGTCGGAAACGACGCATCCTCGGCAGTCGCAAGAGGTTCGGGCGGGTCGTCCTCGCTTTCACAGGCTGGGTGGTGTTTCTTGAGATCTGGAAATCAACAGTCAGATTGAATAGCATCTAAAGTTGTTTAAAGTGGAAAACATTGTGTTCCTCAACATGAGCACCTGGCCCTCTCTATACCCTGAGGATCCGATATTGAAAAACTTCAATCCCTGTATTGAAAAAAATCATTTTCAATAATATTGAAAATGGCACATGTTGGGACCTCAAAAATCAATACCATGATCAATCCTATATTGATCTTGAGATTGATCAAGATTGATTAAAATTGATGGAAAATATTGAAAATGATATTGATCGATATTGATCGATATTGATCTTGGCAAAGCTTTTTCTTTGACAAGCTGAAGGTGTCAGGGCTTTCTTTGAAGCCATGTCTACAGCAGCATTCCAGGCTTGGCTTTCTTTCAAGCCTCTAAATTATTTCATTGATTCTGAGCTGCACAGCCATGGTGTACTTTGTGATGAAAGATTCACTGATTCTCGAAGCTCTGGTTCCATGTGAGCAGCTGTGGCCCAAGGTTGCAATGTATCCCATGAATGATTCTTGCTTGTATGTCCAGCAGGTAGCTGGGTTTTGGAAATGCAGCATCAAAGCAATGTGTGCCACATAGTGGCATTTAGGCGTCAATGTGAATCTGACTTCATCTCCAAAATGGCGGTGCAACCAAATGTAATGCTGCATGCTTTCTTTCAAGCACTTCTCAGCTTTTGTGCTGTCCTTCATGAAAAAATCATCTTCTGAAATGATGGCATAGAAATTTGCCATTTGGTGGCAGCATTCAGCCATGTGGGCAAAAGCCTCACATTCACTGGCCTTCTTCCAGGCCACCATGGCTAATGCTGGCATGAGATGTCGAATCTCTCCTGCATGGCCTTTGAGCTTTGCTGGCTGTGAAAATGGGTTTCTTTCAGAAGTAAACATAGAAACCACGAGGTTGTTGTACTTCTCTGTGATGTGCAATTCTGCGTATGCTTCTTTGAGTAGTGCCCATATTTTGGCAGTGTTGCCAGGCCCAACCTCTTTTTTGGATCCAGGTGGATATGCCCAGGCATGTAGGATGGAGCCTGCCAACCTGGCAGTCACACCTAAATCTAAAGTGTGCAAGACATCGAAGCACACTCTGTATTCTGGTAGGCCACCAGGGATTTTGAACAGAGTGTGGTTGGTGCAAGGGCTTTCTTTCAAGCCTTCCAAAGATTTCATTTCCCATCCAGGTTCAGAGGTGAAATCAAAAGGGTTTTTCAGATGGTTTCCTTTCTCACAATCACAGAGCCAGCAAAATTTTTTGCTTTGCCAATGGGGGAAACCTAGGTGATTTGCATAGTATTCCAAATCGCCGAAAAAATTGAACACCCAGAAGGAATGCCCCTCAGGTGTAATTGGCTTTCTTGCAAGCCTTTTCAAATTTGTTGGCAGTGGCCTCCCTTTCCAATCCACGTCTGGGTGAAACCCTTGGAAAAGAGCAGTGAAGCTCCAAGCCATGACCTCATGGATTTCCACCCATGTGTTGGAAGCAGCTGCTGACTTTGGCCATGCAGTTATGAGGAAAGAACTATCCATGGGGTGGCTGGGATGCATTTCCCTTGGGCCTTCTTTCAGGCCTTGAGGAGCATAAAGCGTGGGTCCCCAGGTGAATGTCATTAAGGAGTCTGTGGAAAATTCGACACCATCTCCATGAAGCCAGAGAGGGATGGTTTTGTGTTTTTGGCTTTCTTTCAAGCCACTGTCCCACAGCCTGGGGTCATTGCTTTTCAAGTTTCCCCAGAAAGCTTTCAACTTGTGAAGGCCAAAAAGCGAAGGAGCCAACTTAGGATAGCTGCTGAATAATTGCCAAACCAGCAAATGTGGCAGTACAATGTGGCATGCTGCCTTGGTCTCTGGATTTTCTTCTTTGGCATCCAAGGCAGGAACCTGAATGGAAATTGTTGGGCTTTCTTGCAAGCCCCCGTGCATGGACTTTTTCAACCTAGCCCTTAATAGCCTTACAAGGTCTCTATGGCAATTGCTTGGGTATTGACCAAAGGTTCCTAAGCCGCTCAATTCCACTATGCTCTCACATTGCAAGCCATCTGCAGTGGCTGCAAAAGCGATTTCTTGGAGCCCTGAGCTACTTAATTTCCCCAGGGACCAAAGTTGCAAAAGTTTCTTGCTTAGAGCCTGGCCTTCTTTCAGGCCTGGAGCTGGTCTTTTCCTAGTGTTTGTTAATTCTATTTTCTGATGGATGCCTGGCATGACCTTGAGCCATTAAAAACAGCTGCAGCATGCATGTATCTTACAGGTGAACCTCTTTACCCAAAAAAAGCTGCCTGGGGGCTGGGCATGCAAGCTGCTTATTTTTTTTGCGGGGCAACCATGCTGTCGCAAGTCAAGGCAAAAGTGGCCATGTCCCAGGCCTTCTTTCAGGCCAATCCTAGGCAGTGAGCAATTTCTTGAAAGCCTTCAGAGCTGATGCTGCTTCCAGCAAGTGGTTCTTGATGCCTTCCAGCTCACCATCTGTTGCCAAATCTTCCAAGCTGTCTCTAGATTTGATGAGAGCTTGCAGGACATCTGCACCCCAGCTGGCATCTTTGGCTTTCTTGCAAGCCTTCTTCAAATCAGCCACTCCTTTGCTGACCAAGGCCAGCATCTTCTTGACCTTACTGTCCTTTTCGTTTTCACCCACTTGTGTGGCTTCCTCTAACTTTGTGTGCCATTTTTTGTCTGCTTCCTTTTTTTTGGCAATCTTAGTCTTCTCTGCCTGAGCTTTCTTGCAAGCTCTGCTGTCCCCCTCCTTGACTTTCTCTTCCTTTGCGAGGTGCTTCTGCTTGTCAGCATTTCTTTTTTCTTTTTTCTGAGAGACCATAGCCTGGCCTTTTTTCAGGCCTTGCAGGAAACTTGCTGCAGGATTATGTTGCTCTGCTGAACTTTCGTCCTCATGTTCAGAAGAAGTTTCAGAAGGTTCTGACAAAGCATCTTCAACCTGGAAGCCTTTCTGTGGCTTTTTTTCAAGCCAAAGGTCATCCCATTCCTGTTTTGTTCTTGCTGCTGCTAAGGCCTTCTTGCAGGCCTTCAGTTCCTCACCTTGCAGTGCTATTTCTTGCTCAGCAGCAATCCTTTTTTTTTGCTCCAGTGTGAGCTCGGTCCTGATCTTCACCAGGAGAAATTCATAGAATTTCTTTCCCACCTTTTTCACTGCTATTAAACCACTCTCTACCCTGGCCAGGGCCTCCTCTTCCCCATACCAGTCAAGGATCTGCTTCCAGGGGACCCACTCAAACCATTCTTTCTCCTTCTTGGAGTTGGCGACTTCTTGGCTTTTTTTCAAGCCCCCTTCCTGGGCCTGACCAGTCTTCAGGAAGTGCAGAAGCAGTTGCTTCTTCTGATCCAGGACACCTGGGCCACCCATCTGGAGCCAAGCTGCTTTGGCTTCAGGGTCTTTGTTCCTGGCTCCTTCATATTTTTTCCACAAGGCAGCTCTGTCTTTGTTGGAGATTTCCTGCCAGAATGCAGCCTCTGACAGGTGGCCTTCTTTCAGGCCTTGGATGGCTGCCTGTGTTTTTTCGTGAAGTTTGAGCCTGGAAGAAGTCAAAGTGGCACCAGCCTCAGAGCCTTCTTTCAGGCTTGCCTGGGCTGCCTTTGCTACACTTTCTGGAAGCATCTTTGCTGCTTCCTCTATCTCAGCCTCAGCAGCTGGTTTCCCTTCTTCAGAAGCATCTGGTTGGTGGCCTTCTTGCAGGCCCTCTTGCTGCTCCTCAGCAGTTGCCCCCTGGGTTGCTTCTTCCTGAGTTGCTTCGGGCTCAGAAGCTCCTACTTGGCCTTCTTGCAGGCCTTCTTGCTGCTTCTCCTCAGCACTTGTCTCTTGTGTTGCTTTCAGTGGTTGGCTTTCCTCATTTTTTTCATTCAGTTTCTGTGTTTTTTTTTCTGGCTTTCTTTCAAGCCCTCAAGGGATGCAGGCCTTTTCTTGGCCATAGCCTCCAAGTACGGCTGGGGATTTGAGTTCTGAAATTGCTACAGAAAAAAAGGTTTTGGTTTACATGAAGTTTGAAAGTTAACATTAAAAAAAAAACATGCGTGTGAGTTTGCCAGACCCCAGGGAACTCCACAGGATGGTTTCGCGCAGGTTTCGCGCAGTTGGGAACTCCACAGGATGGTTTCGCGCAGGTTTCGCGCAGTTGGGAACTCCACAGGATGGTTTCGCGCAGGTTTCGCGCAGTTGGGAACTCCACAGGATGGTTTCGCGCAGGTTTCGCGCAGTTGGGAACTTCACAGGATGGTTTCGCGTAGTTTAGGCGCAGTTGAAGTTATTTTTTTAAATTATAACATTTTTATGACATGCTTTTTTTAATTAAATGTTTCTTCTTTTTTCAAATAGTATTGGCTCTCTTTCAGTTACCTTAACTATTATTTCTTATTATTTCATTTTATTTTATTTTTCAATATTTTATTTACTTTTAAATTTCTTATTATATTATTTATTATCTTTTTTTTCTTTTTTATTTATTGGTCGCTGAAGCAGGGGGGCCTTCTTTCAGGCCTGTCCCCTGGTGAGACAGCCTGAGGTGGTTTGGCTTTCTTTCAAACCTGTTTTTGGTTACTTTTCTTCCTTGTGGCTTTCTCTCAAGCCAAGTTTTTGTGCATGCCAATTTCTTCCCTGTGGCTTTCTTTCAAGCCTCACAGGTCAGAAGCATCCACCTCTTTCTCTCTTTTTTCTTTTCCCTCCTCCTGCCCCTCCTCCTCCTCCTTGACCACTTTCTTCCTTTCCTTTCGCTTCTTGGCTGTTTTCCCCTCCTCCATATCCTTGTCATCTTCCTTCTCCTTCTCCTTGGGCTTCTCTTCCTTTTGGGGCTTCTTCTCCTTCTTTGCAGCTTCCTTTTCCTTGGAAACCTTTTTCTCCTTTCGCTCCTCCTCCTCCTTTGCAGCTTTCTTTTCCTTGTCCTTGGGGGTCCTTTTTCTTTGGCTGCTCCTCCTCCTCCTTTTCCTCTTTCTCCTCCTCCTCCTGCCAGTCTGGCTGCTCCTCCTCCACAAATACCTCCTCCTCTTCACTGTATTCATATGAATAAGAAGAGGAGGAGGATCTGCCGGCTTTTTGTTTAGGCCTTCTTTCAGGCCTGCTGCTGCTGCTGTCCTTCCTTTTTGGCCTTCTTTCAGGCCTGCTGCTGCTGTCCTTCCTTTTTGGCCTTCTTTCAGGCCTGGCCCCTGGCCCTTCCTGCAGGACAACCCCTCTGGCAGGGCTGGGGCTCATCTCCTGCTTGCTGAGCCATGCAGCCTTCTCTTCCAAGAAGGCTGCCTTCTCTTCCAGCAACTGCTTTCTTTCAAGCATTAGTTGCTCCTCCTCCTCCTTCACCTCCTTCTCCCTCTCCTTGATCATCCTCCATTTCCTGCTCCCTTCATGCAAAGGCTGAACCTTGTCTTCCTTAAAGCCTTCTTTCAGGCCCTTCTCTTTCCTGGCTTGGACTTCAGGGTCTCTGGCCCTCAAAGCCTTTCTCGCTTCCCTTCCCCTCTTGCCCCTGGCTTCTTGCCTGAAAGGGTCCCAATCCTCCTCCCCTGGTCGATGCTCAGGGACAAAAGCTGGCCTTCTTTCAGGCCTGCTGCTGCTTGCACCTGACCCCTTTTCTTTGGCCTTGGCTTTGCCTTTGCTTTTCCCTTTTTGGCCTTCTTGCAGGCCTTCCCTGGCTGCCTCTGCAGGGCTTGGGCCAAAGAGGCGGCCCTGTGTGCTTCTGGGAGCCTCCTCCTCCTGTCTCCTCTGCCCCCTGCGCAGGGAGTTGTCAGAGGATGATTCCTCCTCCTCATCCCTGTCCCTCCACCTTCTCTCCCTGTCTCTCAGCTCCCTATCAGGCTCCCTTTCCCAGCCAGTCCAGGTGTTTCAGATGGCCTTCTTGCAGGCCTTGAGCTGGAAGATTTGCAAGTGATTGAATTGCTGGGCCTTCTTGCAGGCCTTAAGTTGAAGTGCGCTTAGAGGTTGAAAGGTGCCCCCCCACCTATCTTCGGTTTTGAGGCTCAAAAGGCTGCAGGCAACAAACAGATTGCTTTCGCCTACTATGTTAAACCCTTTTTGGTGAACATAACACCCCCGGAACACTCAGGTCATAACCTAAGTACAAAAAGAATGACAGTGAAAACGGTGAGGTTTTTCTTTAAATTTCGTTGGCTATCCCCTGCCCCACAAAAACAAACACTTTACCCAAACCCCAAACCACAATTTTTTTTGGCCAAGAAAAAAGTCCTGGCCATGTGCTTTGCACATGGCTGCGGCCTGAACCCTCCTAGTGGCCTTCTTTCAGGCCTTGCCCTGTTAGAAAGGTGTATGCCTTCTTTCAGGCATTCAATCTACATTTTTGACTAAATCGTCTCTTTTTTCTTTCATGTTTTCCTTTGTTATGTCCTCCTCCATGGCCACCTTTTCCAGCTCCAAAATCACAGCGTGATGCCCACCTGGGAAAATCTTTCCCATTCTTTTGGTGCAGCCAATGATGAGCTTCCAATCTCTTCCAAAAAGGCCCATGAGATAGGCTTGGTCCTTGCCCATGACTTTTTTCACTGCTGACCATGGCCTTCTTTCAGGCCTTGGCCCTTCTGCTGCCACCAATGGTTCTGGCTGTGGTGCTGCTTCTTTTTTTGGTCCTTGCTTCTCTGTGGGCCTTCTTTCAGGCCTTAAGCTTTTTGCCTTGGGCAAGGAAGCTTTCTTCGAAGCTGGCTTTTTTTTGCATTCTTTGCTGGCTGGCTTTTTTTGGATTTCTGACCTTCTTTCAAGCCCTGGTCTGCTCTCAACCAACTCTTGGGCTGCCTCTTGTGCAGCTTTATCCAGCTGCTCCTTGCAGCTTACCCTCATTTTTTCCAGAATTGTCATGTTTCTGGAAAAGCAATCTTTCACTTCTTCTTCTTCTTCTTTTGCAGCCTTTGGAGAATTGAGAATGGCTGGCCAGCCATGGGAGTCCACAGAAACATCTGAAACTTGTAGTTTCAAAGTTCTGGCCTTCTTGCAGGCCTGCTCCTCGGGTTCTTTCAAAGAAGCAGAGCTGGAACTTCCTTGGCCACCAGCCTCTGCAGCTTTCGCAGAAGAAGTCTCCTTGGCAGCTTTGGCCTTCTTGCAGGCCTGGTCATCCTCAGGACCTGGGGCTGCTTTCTTGCAAGCATCTGGCAAATCCACAATTTCAAGAATGGATTGCCTTTCAGCCCCTGTAGCTCCCTGCAGGCACTGCCTTAGTTTCGAAGAGTCTCTTTTCAGTCTTCTCACATGGCTGAGCAAGCAGACAAATTGACTTGCAAGCTTGCCTGCCCACAGGTCATCCTTCCACTCACTGTCGTTGTGAGCGTACCCATATTTGAGGATGCACTGCTTCAACTGCCCAGAGGGAATTTCTCCTTCTGAGATTTTGTAGAACTCCTTGACATACTTTGCATTGTGGTGCAAACCTGCAGAGCTCACAGCTGTGCTTACACTTTTCTCCTGATAGTCACCAAGTTTAAAAGCATCAGCACCTTGGGTGGCCACAGCTGTCTCAAAAATTTTTCGCAAAGCATCCAAGTCCACTGGTGGCACCAATGACCTGCGTGCTCCACCCTTGGATGTCATGGCTTTCTTTCAAGCCCTAGCAAGCTGAAAATCCTCAGATTCAAATCCCTTGAAGATGATTGATCTTTCAAGCCCACAACACACCAGCTGAAACCCCAAAACTTTGAAGAATGGCCTTCTTTCAGGCCCAGACCAGGCAATGAGTTTAAACCTGCTATAAGCAAAAACAGCTCTGGCACATATGAGTATGAAATAGAAGCTTGCGCGTTGTGAATGCCTCTAATGGCCCCCTACATGCTTGAATAATGGATCTGACAATTGTAGCTGAAGACTGATGATGGTCTTGACTTGCTGATGATACTACTATATGATATTGATCATGCTATTGATCGATATTGATTGGAAATATTGATCTTTTCTTTCAATCCTCGATATTGAAAAACATATTTTCCTGGTATTGAAAAAAATCATTTTCAATATTATTGATCAGGATTGATCAGGATTGATTTTTTTCAATATCGGATCCTCAGGGTAGGTGTCGATGGCAGTTTATTAGCCCCACCATGCATCGTAAAGACCGAGTCCAACAAGGAAATTGCAGCAACCTTGCGGCCCCTGCTGTTGCAGCTCAAGCACTCACGCTTGCGCGCAGGATGTTCCTTGCCAAATATACCCTGCATGGTGTTTTCTTCCAAGCCAACGAAAATTAAGGGCCCCCGAACATCCCCGAACACATCGCAATATGCGGGCATATGAGTCTATAGCGGGGTCATGAGGGCAACATATCCAAGAACAGGTACAATCGAGCAGTCCATACCCGTGTTCCACGCTACAGACAACTACAGGGGTCAACGTCTGTGTCTAGCAAAACTCTATCGAGAGCTCTGGCCTGACCTTCGAGTGCAGTCCTGGTCCCGCACCAGGAAAGGCGATGCTGTTCGACGACAAGTAACTCCAGAAAATGAGGATACAACAGTTTGCGTTTTTCAATTGTTTATAGTTATCCCCTTGGGAACTAGCTGTGGAGAATCAGGGGGGTTGTGCTCCAAAAAGCCATTCGTTTTATACAGAGGGTTTTGTTTGCATCCCTGTTGTTGGTGCCCAAAGGTTAGGGATATGATTTTGTACGAGGGGTAGGGTTGTCAAACTCGAGCTTGGGGGCCCTTGGTTTATGATAGGGTCAGTGTGGTGCATTTGAAGTCAGGGGTCCTTATTTTAAAAAGATTTCCATTTTAACCATAATCTCTGTCATATGCTGAGGGTTCCTACTTGGTACCATGCTGAAAAGTACCCTGAAATCAAACCCGAATCCCAACCTTGTTGTCGATTGGATCCTTGGGGGCCTTGATTTTATACATTAAAGTATTTGAAACTGTTTTCAGAGAAATAGTATGATGAGGGCAGCACTTGGTACCGCTATAGATTCGGGGACTTTACCCCCCCAGGGGCACTAACTCGAACCCCTCTGACCCTAAAATTTAAGCTGTATTATCAGAGCCTGGGCTCCTCTCAAAATCTGTGGAGGGTAGAAAAATCAATTATACAGAAATTGGAGGCACAAGCAGGACCTCTGGGTAGAGATCCCAATTGTTTTTGTTTTTTTGATGCTTTACCTTGGGTGCCCTGATTATGTTCATCACCTGGTGGGACCAGGGCAGATTGGCTGTTTTTTTGAGCAAAACCCCCACCCAAACTGAACCTTGGGGGCCTTGATTGTGTACAGTTTATTTTTTCTGTTTTTTGTCTTGGGGGTCCTGATTATATATGGCCAAATCCCTAATTTTCTTGGGGGTTCTGATTATGTACCTATAAAATCAGGCAGTCCAACCCCTAGGGATAATTCCCAAGAGGATTTATAGTTTATAACATTCATGTGCGCATTCGTTTTTTCTATTATAGTCACCCCTGTCAATGATTTGGAGCCACCGAGAGGACCTACCCGTGGGCTGCACCATCGTCGGCGACCCCCAGCATGATTGCATCAACTTGGCCAAGGTCTTGCATTTTCGCGCAAGCGACAAAGAGAACCTCATGGAAGATCACGCCGAAACAATGCACCGCTTGGCAGCCCCAGATTACCCAGGTAGGGCGTACGCCTTGCCTGTCCCTGAGCGACAGCTTTCCAAGGAGGCTGTTGCCTTGTTGTGGAGTGCATGCATCGATCCATGGCCCAAATGGCAAAACGTCTTCCAACATTCCACAGAAGGTGTTATACAAGAAGCCAAGAATTTTCTCACTTTACCTCGGGTCCAAGAATGCAAAGCTTGGCTGCCTGCCTTCAAAGGGTTTCCACCAAGACGGACCTTGGGGCGGATCGCCAAACGCTTCGGAGCCGACCTGCATCCAACTTGCCAGCCTTTCGGATTCGAAAGTGAGAAGGAATTTCGAAAGGAGATTCGGCGTATCATGCGTTGGTACAAGCATGGCAAAAAAAGCATGCGCAAGAATCGAAACTTACCGAGGAAGGACAATGTACCCGAATATACGAAGGGGTTGAAAACAACTTTCACGAAAAAAGTGCGAACGCACTTCCGGAGGCTGCTGGGCCCCATCCGGCAGGAAGGCCTTTGGGCCTGGCGAGCCATGAGCCGCGCTCTCCGCAAGGCCAGCATCTGCCAACAGAGCCTCGGCTACTCACAAACTAGCCTGCAAACTCCTTCTGGGGCAGCTGGGTTCCACACACACTTTCAACTTGGTGACCGCAAGAAAATCTAATATAAAACCAGCTGCGTCGCCAGAAGCTAACAGGCTAATAGACACAATGGCCCATACTGCTTTGGGGAAGACGCTCTTCCGGTTCTTGAGCCCTTTGGAGAAACAAGATGGGCTAGATAGGATGAACGGATGAACAGCATGACAGCAGCAAGAGCCAATGCCGCAGAAGAAACCAGACAACAACGCCTGACAGGCACTGCTTCCTCCGTTGAAGCCAGTGCCACAAAGTAGCTTCTTGAACCTCTTTTGCCTTGATACTTCCTGTGAAGCTTGCAGCATCTCCACAAAACATCACAACGCAGCTTAGATCTCAACATGCATAGGTTCCTGGTGGACGCAACGAAAGCGTGCTCCAACACAGCATTGCCTTGTCGCACATGCAATGGAGAACCCACTACAATGAGTTTCTTCCAATGATGCCCGTCAACTGACATTCTATCTAGTTGCCATATCATCCCACATGCTATTTGCTTCTATTTGACACACACACATAATATCAGACATTCTATCAGACGCTTTCTCTCGCGTTGTTTGTCTAACATACCTATTTTCAGATGAATTCTGGCATTCTTTTTGAATATACATTCTTCGTGACTTCAGTCTATTTTCCGTACTTCTGATATTTTGGATGCCACTTGTTTGAACCATTCATTGGGCATGCTAGCAGGCATTCTATCTGGCACTTGGTTGTAGCACTGTTTGGGGTCGCTGGGGCCCAGCGGGGACAAGGGAGGAAGAAGGAGAATGAATTTATTGCTACAATCTACAGACATGTACTGTGGGGAATGCACAGCAGCCAAGGAGCGGCACAGTCTCGGTGGAACGTGTGTGGAGCTATTTCCTCTCCGAATTTCCAAGGGCCAACAGATGTATGAGCAAATCCTATTTTGACCTCATGGCAGCTTTGCTCTGGATTCGACACATTCTGCGACATGCTCGTGCAGACAGGTTGCCCACATGGTTGGAAGGAGATGGGTTGGCTGCTACTAAGATCGATACAGTTCTTTCTTTGGCGCGTGCTTGCATGGATGATGAAGATTCAGAAATTTTGGATTTTGGCAGTGTCTTCCAGTGAAATCTGAGATTCCATGACAACCCTGGCCAAACCCCTTCAAAGGAAATCCCGCAAAAAGCCTCCTACTCAGAGGTCTTCAATGGTCTGCCTCCTATGACAGAGAAAAGGGTCCTGGGTTTTACACACTCCGGACACAGTTTTGTGTGATTGTGCTTCAGGAGTGTAGGGCGTACGCCTTGCACCAACAAAGACGTGCTAGAAATGGCAACCGCAACAAACACACCACCCAGACAGCGGCTGAAAAGAACCATCACGCAGAATTTTCTTTTCAAGTCCGAGAAACACAACGATGCAGTGAACAATGATCACCGCGCTGCTTGCTGGATGAGAGCACTTAGGCGGCATGTTGCTTTGATTTTCCACTGTGAGCTTGCTCGCCAGTGGCTGCAAGACGTGAGCTTGCTCGCTAGCAATCAAGTTGACTCCCATGGCGAACCGTGGGCCTACATGTTGTTATGTGCATCAGATACCCGTGGAACTACAACAAATTTGCTCCCAACTTGCAAACCCGCGAGGGCTTATCAACCTCCTACATTGTGTTTCTATATGTATGGTTTCATGTTGATGGAAATATTTCAAACACCTATTCAGACGAGTTCGGCATGGAAATGATTGACATAGATAGTTCACAATGATTGTCGACGACGTATGTCCTCGAAAGGTGCTGACAACATGTGTTTCTTGCACGCTCCATGCTGCACCTGCTTGCCCCACGCTATCTCCTCTGTGAGTATGTGATGTCATTGCAATTCATGCACCGTGATCTGATCTGTCTTCGGGGTGTGAAATGCCCCTCCCGATTGAACGCATCCCACTGTGGTCCCGTCATGTGAGTACCGTAATATTGGCTCCAAGCAAGAAAACCTTGCAGACTCCATGGCTCTGAGATCAACAAAAAATAGGCATGGGCGTCTGAGGAGTCCAGCAGCATAAAGGCGCGTGAGTCCATATGTATCTTTTGCTTTTGTTGATGCGTAGACTGCCGCTTATAGCGGCCAAGTCATGCTGCAAATCGCAAAGGCAACAAGCATGTCAACTCATCCGGGCAGTGGGCAGCGGCAAAAAAAAGCAATTGCGAAGGCGTTTCTGGTCCAGCTTGACAACCCATCAATTTTGACACTTGGCTCGCTGAGCCGCTTCCTGGATGAGAGCAAGGCTTGCAAAAAATTGGCTTGATTCGCAGCGGTGAGCTTGCTCGCCAGTAGGTGTGCACAGGTGAGCTTGCTCGCGAGCCATATCGTGCTCATTTGCAAACAGTGACGCAAGAAATCGCATCGTGTCATCACTCGAGCATTCAGCCAGGCTGTCCTGAAATAGCCCGCTTCCATCCAAAATGCGATCCAGGATAGAAGTAACATTATTTGGTTGATATACATACCTGCTTTATTTATCCCTGGTTTCAGGCATTAAAACAGTCACGTTGAGCATGATGCCTTCTAGAGCTTTTTATCCTGCTCGAAGTTGTTGGCCCCTGAACTCAGAGCTCGGAGGTTGCTGATTGCAATGTGTGAATCAGAAGGAGCAGACGAGTCAGCAGGTCAGCCCGAGACCAAACCTGAGAGTGGTCTTGCAGGAGCGCTGTCAACCCCAGAGACTGCATCCAGGCCGCCGCATTCGCCCGCTCCGGCATCAACAAGCGACGGCATTGCCCGCAGATTGTCCTTTTCATCACCCAGCGGAATGCCCACTCCTCCCCCACAGGAACCGCGAGAGGAGATCCCGTCGCCACCCTTGCCGTCGCCAACGCCGCCCGACTTCGAGACTCCACCGCAAGCAGGCTTGCCCAAAGCCGAATCAAGCAAATGGGGCGTCACCTTTCACGCACCCAAGAACAAAGCGCAATCAATCCAGGAACCCGTCGAGCCTTTCCTGGCCAAGTTGCACAACGCGCAAGATGAAGACCAGGTGCTGGATGTGCTGTGGCCCCCCTACTTGTTTCAAAACATGAGGACCTGCGATGAAATCTTTGACACAATTCAATCCAAACTCAGCGAAATCTGGCAAGATACAAGAACACACAGGGAAATCGCCTTGGATTCAGAGTTCACACTTGCCAAAGTGTTTCCCAGACCGTTCTACAAGGCAGCGGAGGCCGTCGCTCTGCACAACGGATGGCATTTGGAAAGCTTCATGTTGTCACTCCTCAATAATTTGCCGTTCATTGAACACAGGGCCACACGTCTGACTCCAACAGCCGGGAAACAATTGGAGCAACTCGTGCAGATTCCTGCCGTGACTTCTTCGGCCCCGCCGCCAAAAGATGGAGACACGGAAAGCAATGGTGCAAAGCGTAGGAAGACCGAGGACACAGAGGAAAGCAACGAGCAAGCAGAAGCCCGTGATGCCCAAGATCCCGACCTCCAGGCATGGCTCCAAGAAGCCAGCAAGATGTATGGAGCTGACGGCCTCTTGTCTGTGAAGCCAGGTGAATATGTCCACCAGATAAGCCCTGGCATCCCAGTGATGCTTGCAGGGCCGGCCAGCAGCAGGAAGAGTTCCCAGTGTGAGTTCACCCGAAGCTTGCTTCAGGCACGGTGAGGAACAAACATTGTTAGTTTACACCGCACAGACATAGTTCATTCTAAGCATAAATGACACGGGGAATTCATCTCATCAGGATTCGCGATTCGCACCAGACGAAATGAAGCAGTGCAGCCTGGTGGAGGCCACGCTCAGAGGAGTGTCTGGATCTCAGAAGTCACACAGCCATACCAAACATAACGAAGAATCCAGTTCCATTGTCATCTTGAAACCCCGAAGAAATATTGCTCATTCAAAGAGCTGTCAGGCCTCACATGCGCATATACACAGACAGACACAGACACAGACACAGACACATACAGATACACATACACACACACCATGATTGCAGGCGCACAGCTATCATCAACACTGGCGCCGTGGCTGTGATCAGTGATGAGCTCAGCAACACACTCCAAACACCTTGGTCCGATACCAGCCAAGGGTTTGCTTTTCTGTCGAAAAGCAAACTCAACACCTGGAGTCAGGCGGAAGCAGATTCCAAGATTACTGGCCAAGAACGCATAGGATTGACTTGCTACAAAGCCTTGGTGAAGCTCTATGGCCAAGTGGAAGCATGCGAGTGGAGCTTGAAACCAACACCGAACGGGTTCCCAAAGCGCATGTCGGTGGCGTTTAGTGGCCCGCGCAATCCGCAGGATGAGGATTGCGGAGAAAAAATGAACACTGGCATCTTGCAGTCTCTACATGACTGGCTTCTCGGAAAGGTGTCCAACAAACTTTGTCGGGTGGCACCTACGGCGATTTCCGCAACTTGCCAAACACCCATCACCATGTCTAACCTTATCTGATTTTAGCACACTATAACACAGCCATACGACTTTGCACCCAATTTATTGCAACTGGTTTCCCCGGAAAGCTCCTTGCAAATCAGACAGAGCATAGAAAAAATAAACATATTTTCTTTTGCGCAGCTGAGGCAGAGATCTTAAAGACAGTCAGGTCAGCTACCAATGAATGGCTGGACAAGAAAACTGAGGAATGGAAGGACATAGACAAAAGCTGGGCAACAAAGCTCTCTTTCATGACCAGCGACATCATCCGCTTTGCCGCGGTCAATATGCGCATTGCAGAATTCTTTGAAGCAATGACTCCTGCTTTCAAGGAGAAAGACACCACGACAAGAGTGACCTTCAACCACTTCGAGGTGGTGGCCGCCTGTTGGCTTTGGCTGCGCCAAGTGCACCTTGTCAGAGGCGCCTTGAACGCATTGACAGGCACCGTCACACCAAGATTAATTCTTTTCAACCATGGATGCGTTTGAATTAATATGTATTGATAACAAACACACAAACACACATATATATATATATAGACTGCTCCAAAGACAACAATGCCTAAACATTCACGCGAACAGACCATCCACATGTGGACTTTCTGCTCAGGTTTGGCCAACTTCATGGACTCCATGGAAGGCAAGTTGGACTTCAAAGAACGGAGTCTCGCAAACGAAATGGTCAAAGCGCAGCCACAAGAGTCCAAAAGAGCACCGTGCTTGACAGGTGAAGACTTGTTGATGCACCAAATCATGGAATTACCATGCACTTCAGGAGGAGTGGAATTCAACACCAGCCAGATCAGGGAAAAGATACGCAACAAGTATCGAAGTGATAACAAAATTGCAGAGAAGATCTTGGCCGCGGTACAAAAACTTGAAGACAACGGGTTGTTACTGATGAAAAGACACGAAAAACCCAACAGAGGCGGCCGCAAAGTTCAGACATATGCAAAGCCAACTTTGAGCCAGGTGGAAGCCAACCAAAAGGCCACGGAAGAGCGCATGCGCTTGAATATCGGAAAAGACAAATTCCCATGACATGGGAAATCACAGGCAATGTCATCTGAACATGGTTGGCCCGATGTCTTCTTATGAATGCAAATTCGGACGTTGCTGTCACAGCTTTTGCTTCGCGGCATGCGCCTGGCACGTCTGGTGTCCTTGCTTCAGCAGCGTTTGCCATGGATGGTGTAGGGCGTACGCCTTGCGCCAAAAGTGGCGTGCTACGCATGGACACCGCAAATTAAAGGGCGTGTGCGGTCCTGTGCTCGCTTCAGTATAATAGTATAGCTTTTGCCATGGACGGTGTAGGGCGTACGCCTTGCGTCACAAATGGCATGCTACACATGGCAGCCGCATAAAACTCATCAACCTGTGCCAAAAATAGCGGTCAGTTGAGAAAATACCAAGATCCCACGAAAGCTGCAGTTGAAGAAGCTTCTTTTTCAAACGATATTTGTTTCTTTGTTCTGGAGTAGCTGTCCATTGCAGGATGTGTGTAAAGCAGGAATTTTCATCAGGTCATGAACTTGGGCCTTAAGACATGTCTTGAAAGTCATACATTTTTGACACACAATCAGAAGTCCGAACGCACTTGGTGCGTATTTTTTCTCCTCTTCTTTCAATCCCTGAACCAGGCTTGACCTTGCTGACCCTTTTTCATGCCTATAGTCAGCTTGCTGGCCGTGTTTGTTTCTTTCTTGTTGATGGTCAGCTTGCTGGCCGTGTGTCTGTTTCTTTTTGTGATGTTTATGGTTAGGGTTGTCAAACTCGAGCTTGGGGGCCCTTGGTTTATGATAGGGTCAGTGTGGTGCATTTGAAGTCAGGGGTCCTTATTTTAAAAAGATTTCCATTTTAACCATAATCTCTGTCATATGCTGAGGGTTCCTACTTGGTACCATGCTGAAAAGTACCCTGAAATCAAACCCGAATCCCAACCTTGTTGTCGATTGGATCCTTGGGGGCCTTGATTTTATACATTAAAGTATTTGAAACTGTTTTCAGAGAAATAGTATGATGAGGGCAGCACTTGGTACCGCTATAGATTCGGGGACTTTACCCCCCCAGGGGCACTAACTCGAACCCCTCTGACCCTAAAATTTAAGCTGTATTATCAGAGCCTGGGCTCCTCTCAAAATCTGTGGAGGGTAGAAAAATCAATTATACAGAAATTGGAGGCACAAGCAGGACCTCTGGGTAGAGATCCCAATTGTTTTTGTTTTTTTGATGCTTTACCTTGGGTGCCCTGATTATGTTCATCACCTGGTGGGACCAGGGCAGATTGGCTGTTTTTTGAGCAAAACCCCCACCCAAACTGAACCTTGGGGGCCTTGATTGTGTACAGTTTATTTTTTCTGTTTTTTGTCTTGGGGGTCCTGATTATATATGGCCAAATCCCTAATTTTCTTGGGGGTTCTGATTATGTACCTATAAAATCAGGCAGTCCAACCCCTAGGGATAATTCCCAAGAGGATTTATAGTTTATAACATTCATGTGCGCATTCGTTTTTTCTATTATAGTCACCCCTGTCAATGATCTGGAGCCACCGAGAGGACCTACCCGTGGGCTGCACCATCGTCGGCGACCCCCAGCATGATTGCATCAACTTGGCCAAGGTCTTGCATTTTCGCGCAAGCGACAAAGAGAACCTCATGGAAGATCACGCCGAAACAATGCACCGCTTGGCAGCCCCAGATTACCCAGGTAGGGCGTACGCCTTGCCTGTCCCTGAGCGACAGCTTTCCAAGGAGGCTGTTGCCTTGTTGTGGAGTGCATGCATCGATCCATGGCCCAAATGGCAAAACGTCTTCCAACATTCCACAGAAGGTGTTATACAAGAAGCCAAGAATTTTCTCACTTTACCTCGGGTCCAAGAATGCAAAGCTTGGCTGCCTGCCTTCAAAGGGTTTCCACCAAGACGGACCTTGGGGCGGATCGCCAAACGCTTCGGAGCCGACCTGCATCCAACTTGCCAGCCTTTCGGATTCGAAAGTGAGAAGGAATTTCGAAAGGAGATTCGGCGTATCATGCGTTGGTACAAGCATGGCAAAAAAAGCATGCGCAAGAATCGAAACTTACCGAGGAAGGACAATGTACCCGAATATACGAAGGGGTTGAAAACAACTTTCACGAAAAAAGTGCGAACGCACTTCCGGAGGCTGCTGGGCCCCATCCGGCAGGAAGGCCTTTGGGCCTGGCGAGCCATGAGCCGCGCTCTCCGCAAGGCCAGCATCTGCCAACAGAGCCTCGGCTACTCACAAACTAGCCTGCAAACTCCTTCTGGGGCAGCTGGGTTCCACACACACTTTCAACTTGGTGACCGCAAGAAAATCTAATATAAAACCAGCTGCGTCGCCAGAAGCTAACAGGCTAATAGACACAATGGCCCATACTGCTTTGGGGAAGACGCTCTTCCGGTTCTTGAGCCCTTTGGAGAAACAAGATGGGCTAGATAGGATGAACGGATGAACAGCATGACAGCAGCAAGAGCCAATGCCGCAGAAGAAACCAGACAACAACGCCTGACAGGCACTGCTTCCTCCGTTGAAGCCAGTGCCACAAAGTAGCTTCTTGAACCTCTTTTGCCTTGATACTTCCTGTGAAGCTTGCAGCATCTCCACAAAACATCACAACGCAGCTTAGATCTCAACATGCATAGGTTCCTGGTGGACGCAACGAAAGCGTGCTCCAACACAGCATTGCCTTGTCGCACATGCAATGGAGAACCCACTACAATGAGTTTCTTCCAATGATGCCCGTCAACTGACATTCTATCTAGTTGCCATATCATCCCACATGCTATTTGCTTCTATTTGACACACACACATAATATCAGACATTCTATCAGACGCTTTCTCTCGCGTTGTTTGTCTAACATACCTATTTTCAGATGAATTCTGGCATTCTTTTTGAATATACATTCTTCGTGACTTCAGTCTATTTTCCGTACTTCTGATATTTTGGATGCCACTTGTTTGAACCATTCATTGGGCATGCTAGCAGGCATTCTATCTGGCACTTGGTTGTAGCACTGTTTGGGGTCGCTGGGGCCCAGCGGGGACAAGGGAGGAAGAAGGAGAATGAATTTATTGCTACAATCTACAGACATGTACTGTGGGGAATGCACAGCAGCCAAGGAGCGGCACAGTCTCGGTGGAACGTGTGTGGAGCTATTTCCTCTCCGAATTTCCAAGGGCCAACAGATGTATGAGCAAATCCTATTTTGACCTCATGGCAGCTTTGCTCTGGATTCGACACATTCTGCGACATGCTCGTGCAGACAGGTTGCCCACATGGTTGGAAGGAGATGGGTTGGCTGCTACTAAGATCGATACAGTTCTTTCTTTGGCGCGTGCTTGCATGGATGATGAAGATTCAGAAATTTTGGATTTTGGCAGTGTCTTCCAGTGAAATCTGAGATTCCATGACAACCCTGGCCAAACCCCTTCAAAGGAAATCCCGCAAAAAGCCTCCTACTCAGAGGTCTTCAATGGTCTGCCTCCTATGACAGAGAAAAGGGTCCTGGGTTTTACACACTCCGGACACAGTTTTGTGTGATTGTGCTTCAGGAGTGTAGGGCGTACGCCTTGCACCAACAAAGACGTGCTAGAAATGGCAACCGCAACAAACACACCACCCAGACAGCGGCTGAAAAGAACCATCACGCAGAATTTTCTTTTCAAGTCCGAGAAACACAACGATTCAGTGAACAATGATCACCGCGCTGCTTGCTGGATGAGAGCACTTAGGCGGCATGTTGCTTTGATTTTCCACTGTGAGCTTGCTCGCCAGTGGCTGCAAGACGTGAGCTTGCTCGCTAGCAATCAAGTTGACTCCCATGGCGAACCGTGGGCCTACATGTTGTTATGTGCATCAGATACCCGTGGAACTACAACAAATTTGCTCCCAACTTGCAAACCCGCGAGGGCTTATCAACCTCCTACATTGTGTTTCTATATGTATGGTTTCATGTTGATGGAAATATTTCAAACACCTATTCAGACGAGTTCGGCATGGAAATGATTGACATAGATAGTTCACAATGATTGTCGACGACGTATGTCCTCGAAAGGTGCTGACAACATGTGTTTCTTGCACGCTCCATGCTGCACCTGCTTGCCCCACGCTATCTCCTCTGTGAGTATGTGATGTCATTGCAATTCATGCACCGTGATCTGTCTTCGGGGTGTGAAATGCCCCTCCCGATTGAACGCATCCCACTGTGGTCCCGTCATGTGAGTACCGTAATATTGGCTCCAAGCAAGAAAACCTTGCAGACTCCATGGCTCTGAGATCGACAAAAAATAGGCATGGGCGTCTGAGGAGTCCAGCAGCATAAAGGCGCGTGAGTCCATATGTATCTTTTGCTTTTGTTGATGCGTAGACTGCCGCTTATAGCGGCCAAGTCATGCTGCAAATCGCAAAGGCAACAAGCATGTCAACTCATCCGGGCAGTGGGCAGCGGCAAAAAAAAGCAATTGCGAAGGCGTTTCTGGTCCAGCTTGACAACCCATCAATTTTGACACTTGGCTCGCTGAGCCGCTTCCTGGATGAGAGCAAGGCTTGCAAAAAATTGGCTTGATTCGCAGTGGTGAGCTTGCTCGCCAGTAGGTGTGCACAGGTGAGCTTGCTCGCGAGCCATATCGTGCTCATTTGCAAACAGTGACGCAAGAAATCGCATCGTGTCATCACTCGAGCATTCAGCCAGGCTGTCCTGAAATAGCCCGCTTCCATCCAAAATGCGATCCAGGATAGAAGTAACATTATTTGGTTGATATACATACCTGCTTTATTTATCCCCGGTTTCAGGCATTAAAACAGTCACGTTGAGCATGATGCCTTCTAGAGCTTTTTATCCTGCTCGAAGTTGTTGGCCCCTGAACTCAGAGCTCGGAGGTTGCTGATTGCAATGTGTGAATCAGAAGGAGCAGACGAGTCAGCAGGTCAGCCCGAGACCAAACCTGAGAGTGGTCTTGCAGGAGCGCTGTCAACCCCAGAGACTGCATCCAGGCCGCCGCATTCGCCCGCTCCGGCATCAACAAGCGACGGCATTGCCCGCAGATTGTCCTTTTCATCACCCAGCGGAATGCCCACTCCTCCCCCACAGGAACCGCGAGAGGAGATCCCGTCGCCACCCTTGCCGTCGCCAACGCCGCCCGACTTCGAGACTCCACCGCAAGCAGGCTTGCCCAAAGCCGAATCAAGCAAATGGGGCTTCACCTTTCACGCACCCAAGAACAAAGCGCAATCAATCCAGGAACCCGTCGAGCCTTTCCTTGCCAAGTTGCACAACGCGCAAGATGAAGACCAGGTGCTGGATGTGCTGTGGCCCCCCTACTTGTTTCAAAACATGAGGACCTGCGATGAAATCTTTGACACAATTCAATCCAAACTCAGCGAAATCTGGCAAGATACAAGAACACACAGGGAAATCGCCTTGGATTCAGAGTTCACACTTGCCAAAGTGTTTCCCAGACCGTTCTACAAGGCAGCGGAGGCCGTCGCTCTGCACAACGGATGGCATTTGGAAAGCTTCATGTTGTCACTCCTCAATAATTTGCCGTTCATTGAACACAGGGCCACACGTCTGACTCCAACAGCCGGGAAACAATTGGAGCAACTCGTGCAGATTCCTGCCGTGACTTCTTCGGCCCCGCCGCCAAAAGATGGAGACACGGAAAGCAATGGTGCAAAGCGTAGGAAGACCGAGGACACAGAGGAAAGCAACGAGCAAGCAGAAGCCCGTGATGCCCAAGATCCCGACCTCCAGGCATGGCTCCAAGAAGCCAGCAAGATGTATGGAGCTGACGGCCTCTTGTCTGTGAAGCCAGGTGAATATGTCCACCAGATAAGCCCTGGCATCCCAGTGATGCTTGCAGGGCCGGCCAGCAGCAGGAAGAGTTCCCAGTGTGAGTTCACCCGAAGCTTGCTTCAGGCACGGTGAGGAACAAACATTGTTAGTTTACACCGCACAGACATAGTTCATTCTAAGCATAAATGACACGGGGAATTCATCTCATCAGGATTCGCGATTCGCACCAGACGAAATGAAGCAGTGCAGCCTGGTGGAGGCCACGCTCAGAGGAGTGTCTGGATCTCAGAAGTCACACAGCCATACCAAACATAACGAAGAATCCAGTTCCATTGTCATCTTGAAACCCCGAAGAAATATTGCTCATTCAAAGAGCTGTCAGGCCTCACATGCGCATATACACAGACAGACACAGACACAGACACAGACACATACAGATACACATACACACACACCATGATTGCAGGCGCACAGCTATCATCAACACTGGCGCCGTGGCTGTGATCAGTGATGAGCTCAGCAACACACTCCAAACACCTTGGTCCGATACCAGCCAAGGGTTTGCTTTTCTGTCGAAAAGCAAACTCAACACCTGGAGTCAGGCGGAAGCAGATTCCAAGATTACTGGCCAAGAACGCATAGGATTGACTTGCTACAAAGCCTTGGTGAAGCTCTATGGCCAAGTGGAAGCATGCGAGTGGAGCTTGAAACCAACACCGAACGGGTTCCCAAAGCGCATGTCGGTGGCGTTTAGTGGCCCGCGCAATCCGCAGGATGAGGATTGCGGAGAAAAAATGAGCACTGGCATCTTGCAGTCTCTGCATGACTGGCTTCTCGGAAAGGTGTCCAACAAACCTTGTCGGGTGGCACCTACGGCGATTTCCGCAACTTGCCAAACACCCATCACCATGTCTAACCTTATCTGATTATAGCACACTATAACACAGCCATACGACTTTGCACCCAATTTATTGCAACTGGTTTCCCCGGAAAGCTCCTTGCAAATCAGACAGAGCATAGAAAAAATAAACATATTTTCTTTTGCGCAGCTGAGGCAGAGATCTTAAAGACAGTCAGGTCAGCTACCAATGAATGGCTGGACAAGAAAACTGAGGAATGGAAGGACATAGACAAAAGCTGGGCAACAAAGCTCTCTTTCATGACCAGCGACATCATCCGCTTTGCCGCGGTCAATATGCGCATTGCAGAATTCTTTGAAGCAATGACTCCTGCTTTCAAGGAGAAAGACACCACGACAAGAGTGACCTTCAACCACTTCGAGGTGGTGGCCGCCTGTTGGCTTTGGCTGCGCCAAGTGCACCTTGTCAGAGGCGCCTTGAACGCATTGACAGACACCGTCACACCAAGATTAATTCTTTTCAACCATGGATGCGTTTGAATTAATATGTATTGATAACAAACACACAAACACACACACATATATATATAGACTGCTCCAAAGACAACAATGCCTAAACATTCACGCGAACAGACCATCCACATGTGGACTTTCTGCTCAGGTTTGGCCAACTTCATGGACTCCATGGAAGGCAAGTTGGACTTCAAAGAACGGAGTCTCGCAAACGAAATGGTCAAAGCGCAGCCACAAGAGTCCAAAAGAGCACCGTGCTTGACAGGTGAAGACTTGTTGATGCACCAAATCATGGAATTACCATGCACTTCAGGAGGAGTGGAATTCAACACCAGCCAGATCAGGGAAAAGATACGCAACAAGTATCGAAGTGATAACAAAATTGCAGAGAAGATCTTGGCCGCGGTACAAAAACTTGAAGACAACGGGTTGTTACTGATGAAAAGGCACGAAAAACCCAACAGAGGCGGCCGCAAAGTTCAGACATATGCAAAGCCAACTTTGAGCCAGGTGGAAGCCAACCAAAAGGCCACGGAAGAGCGCATGCGCTTGAATATCGGAAAAGACAAATTCCCATGACATGGGAAATCACAGGCAATGTCATCTGAACATGGTTGGCCCGATGTCTTCTTATGAATGCAAATTCGGACGTTGCTGTCACAGCTTTTGCTTCGCGGCATGCGCCTGGCACGTCTGGTGTCCTTGCTTCAGCAGCGTTTGCCATGGATGGTGTAGGGCGTACGCCTTGCGCCAAAAGTGGCGTGCTACGCATGGACACCGCAAATTAAAGGGCGTGTGCGGTCCTGTGCTCGCTTCAGTATAATAGTATAGCTTTTGCCATGGACGGTGTAGGGCGTACGCCTTGCGTCACAAATGGCATGCTACACATGGCAGCCGCATAAAACTCATCAACCTGTGCCAAAAATAGCGGTCAGTTGAGAAAATACCAAGATCCCACGAAAGCTGCAGTTGAAGAAGCTTTCTTTTTCAAACGATATTTGTTTCTTTGTTCTGGAGTAGCTGTCCATTGCAGGATGTGTGTAAAGCAGGAATTTTCATCAGGTCATGAACTTGGGCCTTAAGACATGTCTTGAAAGTCATACATTTTTGACACACAATCAGAAGTCCGAACGCACTTGGTGTGTATTTTTTCTCCTCTTCTTTCAATCCCTGAACCAGGCTTGACCTTGCTGACCCTTTTTCATGCCTATAGTCAGCTTGCTGGCCGTGTTTGTTTCTTTCTTGTTGATGGTCAGCTTGCTGGCCGTGTGTCTGTTTCTTTTTGTGTGTTTATGGTTGGGGTCCGATGCTTGCTTCCTCGCCAAACCGCTTCGCAGTGCTGAATGTCATGCAACCAGAAAACATTTACACGCAGTTTCTGTTCACATTCTAAAAGATATGTTCATGAGCCACAGCCATTTGGTCACTAACATATAAAATTGCAGCCGCTTCTTTCCTTGCCTTTTTGCCATGACCGCGATCACTTCAGATGGTGTTTGGATCTAGACTGTAATTAGTGCAGCGTGCCAGGAGAAAGCTCAGGTGTTGCAGAACTTCAGCGGCATCCTGACTATTGCAAGATTTGATTTGCAGACACCAGCTTTTGGTCCATTGCCTGACCGAGCAAGGCCATCCTGCCCGGAGTTTCAACCGTGCCAGGTACTGCAAGACCAAGAGGTTCAGAGACAGTATGCAGGAGCATTATCTTTGGTGATCCTGAAGCAGACGCCCTTTTCGGCAAATCGCCGACGCTCTGGCTAAGCTACAGAGGTTCATTGCATCTTAGAAGGGGCAGCCTGTGCCCTCCAAGGTAGTTACGTCTTTAAAGGGTATAGACTTGAACGATTGCGGAAAAGAGAAAGTTTTGTCAAGCGGACAGAATCAGCTTGGTGTTTTTGGTTTATGGTCATCTTCCTGGCCCAGTTGGTGTTTTTTAGTTGTTTGCTGGTCGGCTTGCGGGCCCTGTTTTTGTCGATTTTGGTTTATGGTCAGCTTGCTGGCCCTGTCTGTGCTTTCCGTTAATGGTCAGCTTGCTAGCCCTCTTTGTGTGAGTGTCCGTGTTTTTGCAGACGGATCTTTTACGGTCCCACCAACGTCAGGTTGGGGGTGGGGTGGGGTGGGGCGTCAACGTTCATGTTCATCTTCACACATGATTGACTCTGACATAAATTCCACGTCTTGCGCACGCTACGTCACAGGTGCGGTCTTGGAGGTGGGGTGAGGTGTGGTGGCGTGGCACGTTTAAAAAAACTTTTTTGAACATGTTCATACATAGAACGACTTTAACAAAAGATCCAGGTCTCTTCCACCCTATATCGCAGGTACGGTCTGGGGGGTGGGGTACATGTTCATACATTATTGATTTTTTGAAAAATTGCTTCTTTGAAAATTTAGAAGGTCTCGCCAGTGAAGGTGAGAATGGCCAAGAAGACTTGTTGAAGAAGACAGGCATGGCTTTGAGACAGTTGATGACCTGAAACGAGTCGAAGCAAAATGCCATGCGCAGCTCTCTGAGAAAAAATAACTTCAAATTTGTGTCATTCTTAGCTTTGGAGCTTTTGAAAAATGATTTGGGAGGCAAACAAAACAAAAATCAAATGGCCAGCGCGAGATTGGTGGCAAAAGTTCATTTTTTGGCCAGCTTGCTGGCTCAGCACTTGCGTTCAACCTCAAGCTTCCATTGCATGGAAAATTCCAATGGTTTAAGGTTCATGATTCAAATGCCTGAAAATCATGCTGTAACAAGATAAGAGTGATGTAAGAGGTACTAAATAAGAAATATGTAATTCACAGTGTGTCACCAACAACTCAGCCATTTCTGTTCACTTTCCCTTGCCGCTGCACCTGTGTGCTTTCTAGGAGGACCTATATATATCATTTGACATGTTTGTGTGCATGGTGCATGAATGGACCATCATGCGTGACACATTTTAACAATGTGGGATTGAGAGCATATGTTTAGCAAAATCCTGCGACCCAAATAACGCGCAAAACGCCCCCAAATTTCCCGCACCTGCGCGCAAAGACTCTCAAACGCGCGCAAATTTTGATTTCTGGTAATTTCAGGAGTTGGTTTGCAAACGAGGCATTGCTGAACCACATTTGAAGAAAAATGAGTTCAATCGCTCTTATGCCCACTCTGTCTGTTTGAATTTGCCAATCAAGCACCGGCTTGCAATGCGGTCCAGGTCCTCGCTAAATTAGGCCTTTGCTAACGGGCTTGTTAAACCAGGCCTTCAGGACTGAGGGTTTCTCTATGCGATTATTTTTGAGGTCGTATTTTTGTGCGACTTAGCCGAGCAAGGTTCCACCCCCAAAGATATCCCATGCTTCAAGAATCGACGATGCACTTTCCAGATTTGAGAAAAAAAGATACCGTGAAAAAAAAGTGAAAAGGCCGTGAAAAACCAGTGAAAACCCCCTGAGAAGGCCGTGAAAAACCCGCAAAATCAGGTTTGTGAGGTTTGTGCAAAAAAAGAAAAAGACACTGTGTTTGTAAACAAATTTTCTTAGAGTGCTCTCGCTGTATGTAACTTCTGCTGGTCTTACAGTGCGGAATTTTCGAATCTTTTCAAGGTATGAGTTTTTTGGGAACTTTAGTCATTTAGGTCCTTTATTCGAACGGCCGCGTTAAACTTGTCCTTTAGACTGACTGGGTTACATTATACCTTAAGCGCATAGATTTTTCCGAGCAATGGAAGCTTGGATCATGCAAAGTTCAATGCGTCATTGACTTTCACAAATGATGCCAAGCTCATTTGTGGTAAATTTCCAAGGAACACATTGTGTTTTGTAAGCAGTCATGCGTCCCAGGTCCTATTGCAAGGTTATAGACACCAACTCTCGTATACTTGGCTGCCAGCTGTTGATGAACTTGCTGCATGCTAACATGCAATGGCCGTTGAACGGGTCAATGCACCCTTGTGCGGTTGATTCGGCCGATGGTCGCAGCATGTATATTGACAAACGCGGTGCACCGGCCTCAGCACAGCGACCGGAGCAACAGCGTACCAGCCCAGGCGCAGCACCCGGCGCATCGGCGCAACCGCGCACACACACGCACACACGCGCACACGCATTATGTGAACGACGTCTCGGCGTATTTGCAGCGCAGACCCCGCGATCGGCGTAACGGTGCATCGGCGCTAACAAAGCGATCGGCGTATCGACGTAAACACAGCGATCGGCGTAACGGCGCATCGGCGCAGACACGGCGATCGACGTAACGGTGTATCAGCGCAAACACGGCGATCGGCGTAACGGCGTATCAGCGCAAACACGGCGATCGGCGTAACGGCGTAAACACAGCGATCGGCGTAACGGCGCATCGGCGCAAACACGGCGATCGGCGTAACGGCGTATCAGCGCAAACACGGCGATCGGCGTAACGGCGTATCGGCGTCAACACGGCGATCGGCGTAACGGCGTATCGGCGCGATCGGCGCAAAAACACCGATCGGCGTAACGGCGTATCGGCGCAAACACGGCGATCGGCGTAACGGCGTATCGGCGCAAACACGGCGATCGGTGTAACGGCGTATCAGCGCAAACACGGCGATCGGCGTAACGGCGTATCAGCGCAAACTCGGCGATCGGCGTAACGGCGTATCGGCGCAAACACAGCGATCGGCGTATCGGCGTATCGGCGCAAACACAGCGATCAGCGTATCGGCATATCGGTGTAAACACAGCGATCAGCGTATCGGCGCATCGGCGCAGACACATCAATCAGCGTAACAGCCATCGGCGCAGAATGGGCGTGTCGACATGCAGCGCAGCGACAAGTGTAAAACACAGAGATCGGCGTATCGGCGTATCGGCGCAAACACACCGATCGGCGTATCGGCGTATCGGCGTACACACAGCGATCGGCGTATCGGCGCAAACACACCGATCGGCGTAACGGCGTGTCGGCGCAAACACACCGATCGGCGTATCGGCGTATCGGCGTAAACACAGCGATCAGCGTATCGGCGTATCGGCGTATTTACGGTTACGGACCCCAATCCCGAACACGCTGTCAATGAGACCTGACATCACATAACAATACATTCATGAAGGGTGGTGTGAGACTTTACATCACATACTGTAACAATACATTTACGCAGGGTGGTGTGAGACTGTGAGAATTTACATCACATAACAATACATCATGAAGGGTGGTGTGAGACTGTGAGACTTTTACATCACATAACAATACATCATGAAGGGCGGCGTGAGACTGTGAGACTTTCAATCCCATAACAATACATTCATGAAGGGTGGTGAGAGACTTTATGGATGTGTAGGTGTTGCCGCAAAACGCATTGTAATGGAAAAGGCATTGTACTGGCTGCATGAATGTTGCATAGGCGAGTGGATGCAAATCGTGGTGTAATGGCTGCATGGATGTGTAGGTGTTGCTGCAAAACGCATTGAATGTTGCATGGGACTTGTGTTGGGGAGGAAGCGGAGCACGAAACCTTGTGTTTCTCCGTGTGAAGTGGCTGCAGGCGGCGATGAAAGGTACCTCCTGTGTGCGGCGGGTGCGGCTGCGGCCGTTTCGGGGTCGAATCGGTTCCTCCTCTGTGTTCTGCAAC